CGGGGGGCCAGCAGCCCACAAGGTAGGTCATCCCGTATGTGCCACCCCCTGAATTGGGAGAGTGAAGGTAGCAAAGTCAAGGTGGCCAAATTTGAAGTGTTCATGCTTCAGGGTGGCTAGGGGGGGCGCGTAGCCCACAGATTTCTTGATTTTTTTACAATTTCTGCGGGTGGCTCAGATAGGAAAAGTCTTGGAACACATATATGCAAAATAGTGATTACGATGAAAGAATCACGTGGTTTCCACGTCAAATACATACACTGTTGCTACTTGGTCACCCTTTCCCCATTGGTGCCATGGCGGCAGCTGAAGCAGCTGCCAAAGAGAAGATTGTGAAACTGGCAGAAGAGACCTTCTGTGGCTCTGGGGATATTGAAGCACAAGATGCCAAGTCGCTTCGCCAATACTTTAAGCAGACTTACCCGCCTGGCTCTGCAGAGCGCTCCATGCTGCTTTCTGACCTTCACGGCTTGGAAAACCGTCTCAAGGCCTTGACAGGCTGGGTTCCGCCAGCTGCAGTTGACGCACTTCTTCCTTTCAATGCTGGCCAGATCCAAAGTTTTGTGGTTGCCCCGTGGCAGCTTGGGCTTGCAGCTGAGGATACTGTGTCACATTTCTTGGTCAGCCCATATCGCTCTGAAAGGGAACCTTGGCTTGCTGTTTTCTCCAGGAGCCCGCCCTGGTGATCCTGTGGGTGATTGGTCCATGGCTCATGCGATTGGAATGGGGAGAATTAGCGCATGCCGAATCATTTTGGAATGCACCCTGCGGCTTGGCCTCAGTGATCTAGATCTTGTGGCAATTTCAGATGTCTTGAAAGCCTTGTTGCGGATGAAGGCCGCTTCTGAACCATCTGCCACAGAGGAACAGCAGTTCACGCGAAGCTTGTGATTCAAAAGTTGAATGGCTGAGCGGTCCCGACCAGACCCTCGGATGGTAGCTTGCAAATGGTCAGACCTGCTGCGTGGTCAGGGTTTGAATTTTGCTGCTGTCATTGACCAACGCATTCAGGCATACAACAAAGGGCGCACGGAAGCCGTAGCGATTTCACAGCCAGAAAAGGCGCTCATCAAGCTGTATGTCCACCAAGCCCCGGAATCCACCCAGCTTCTGGAGTACCAGTGGCCAAATTTCAAAATTTGCTGGATCCGCAGTCTCTTTGAAAATTTGGGCAGACCCAGACCTCTCACCAGACACAAAGCAGATTCGTTCTGGTGTAAAAGTCTTGTGGACAAACATCTTGTTTGGACCCCAGCTAAGAGCTACTACTGCTACTGGTTGCTTCGGGCTATTGGAATTTTCCTGAAGAATTTGAAAGAAGCCCACTTGGCAAGCAAGAATGCATCCTTGAAAAGTATGGCCAACAGGTTTCGCTCAAACTTCAATTATCCATTGCCCCATGACCAGGCTTCTCTTTTCGGCCATTTCCTTCCAGAAAGGAAGTCTCATGTCACAAGTTGGGGAGAAGCTCAAGCTTATGGAGCCAGAGGCATTGGATTTTCGGTTCATTCAGCAGGTCTCTGGTCAGTGGTCTTCGGTTCTTGGTTCCTCGGTTCTTGGTTCCTCGGTTCTTGGTGATGGAACGCAGGAACCTGAGCGTGCGAAAGAGCAGGCTGAATTCAATTTGTTTCAATCCAGGCTGGCAAAAGAGGTCGCTATGTTTTCTGACTACACCTGGCAGCTGCAACTGTTCCATGCAAGGCAGAATGAGGAAAAAGTTGCTGCAAACTTGTACCTGGAGCAAGCCTTGGCTGCTGCAACAGACACTTTCTCAAACCACTGGATGCCATGCAGGCGCACCAGTGAAGCTGGGGTTCTGCCCTATGTCGATGAAGTAATGGTCTCTTTTGCAGTAAGCGAGGGGATTTCCAGCTGCGAAGCCTTGCGCCTTCACATTGCTTGCTTTGGCAAGCTGGGCGTCCATTGGTTTGCAAACGCCCAGCCCACTGTCTCCATCATTGCCAATGCGGTTAGCGCTGCACCTGAGAATGTGGCAGCCATAGTGTTTGCACCAAACGTTGGGAAGCCAGGGGATGCATACGACATGCTGAAGATTCAAGAATCAGAGGATGAACTGGACGCAATGCTGCGGGAAGACACCTATACAACCTTCGAGCCACCCGCGGCTTCATTTAATTTTCTGAAGAATCGGTTAGATGTGGCAAATCTAAGAGGCCAGGTGGAACCACTTTTTGGTTTGTGGTTTCCAAGGTCCGGAATGCAAAAGGCGAGCTCATTTCAAAATGGAATGGTTGCTTCCTCCAGGCGCGAAAGCGTTCACAAGGACTTCCTTAAAAGATATCATTATCTAAACAAGGCCCCCCTACATGACCCATCCCAACCCTGGACAGGCACCTCTGCTGCTGCTGCTGCTGCAGCAGGCACTGGCTAGGCAAGGTTGGCCCAAACAGGGCAAGCGGACCGAGGACCAAAGACCAAAGACCAAAGACCGAAAACCGTAGGACTTGAATGTCAATAAATAAATACGTTGATGAGGGAAACAACAACATAGATGTAAAAGAGCCAAAGACATTCATCATGACCCATGACTATCATCTTCTTGAAAAATTCAGCGGTCGCAGATCATAACATCATTGCGCTAGGACCTAGTGCAATTTTTGGGCCAAGTGAAGCCACAAGAACATGTTTGGGGTCAATCTTCTCGTATTCTGCACTGATTTCTAGGACCTGCGTTTGGACTGCATCATTCCAGCAAATGCTTTCTATTTCTTTAAAGACCTTGTGATACAGGGTGTATATTAAGATCACAAAATATTTTTGCCCCTTGCTGACTTCTATGAACCATGTAAACATGACATGTGTTAAAACAAAGCATAAAACCACTGTGGTAGCTGTTGAACCGCCTACCTGTGTCAAGTGGAAACACAATTTTGAATTCCCTTCAAAGGTCCAATTTTGTTTTTGGCTTCCAACGTGCCATTGTATTGTATATATATATATACACCTGTTTTTGTGGGCGTCATCTTTTGAACTTATTCGCTTCGGTCTCGAACTAACACCCCTCCCACAAATCTCAACCGCCTTGCAATTCAATCACTAGTTTTCCTGCAGCCTGTGTGGTGGGTCAGACACACACACACACACCCAGCATTAAGGATTTCAACTAAACTGCTAGTTTGATGGGCATAACCCCTGATGGAACTGATTTGATTGAGGTTTTTTGGAGTTCATGGTGCTCCCAAGACTGATGGATCTTTGGAAATCTTAATCTAGCATGTTTTTCGAGGTCTTCCCTACAGGCAGGAAGATTGCGGGGGGATAACAAAGAATTATGCGTCATTGACAGCACGCGTTGCCGCATTGATGATGAGGAATGACAAGGAGGAAGGAGCTAATTTTATCTTGCATTATGGGCTTGCGCAGCGTGCAATGCGATGTGTGGTACTGCTTAAGCATGCTAGTTGGTAGATGATACAAACTTTGGGAATAAGTAACGCTCGCGGGTGAGGTGGCACTGTTTCTAAGTGACTCGCGCTGTCGCAACGCTGTTTTCACAGTGCTGGCCACGCAACTCACTTCCACAAATTTTGGTGCTTGGTTCCAATCTTTGGATCTGTGATCGCACTGGCATGATTTGGCTGAATTTCCCCAAACTTTGTGCTGTACTGTTGCTGCTTGCAGGACTCAAGCAGGGCTAGTTATTCGGATTCGGTGCCCGCTGGTCAATGATCCTTGGTCTTTAGTCCTTGGTCCTTGGTGGCCAGGGTCTTTGGTCCTTGGTCTTCGGCCACCTGCCATGCCGAATGGCCATGTCCTGAAAGAACACGCGGAGGAAATGAGGGACCTGCTGTCTGAGGGCTTCGGAGACCCAAATCATGAGTATAAGCATGCTGTCACCGATACCATGCAGCAGTGGATCCAGGTCATCGAGTTCCTGCAAGACATGTTCAAGGACAACCGTTACTGGTCCAATCTCGTTGCAAAGGCCCATGCAGGACAAACAGATCCAGGACACCGTGACACCCAATACAAGAGCTACAACCGCTTCAGCAGCTCTTCCATTGTGATGCCTTTTGATCACAAAATGATCCCGCACAGCACCCTCTGGCACATCAGAGATGATATCAAGGGATTGCTGCTTGACTATGAAACACATGCTGCAGGCCAGTTCCTCAGGCATGATGGGGTTGGGCATCTTGTTTGGCCTACAATCTGCGGCTGCAAAGATCTGTTGCCTGGCCAATAGGTTGCCGGACGTTGGGTTCTTGGTCTTGGGTTGCAAGGTCTTTGGTTGCACGGTCTTTGGAAGTCTTTGGTCTTGAAACCAAGATCAGAAGCTCCCTCAGCCCTTGCGGAAAAATGGCTGCTCTGGACTCTGGAGCTGTGCTGTGTTGGGGCAATTTGTGTGTGCCTGGTCCTAGGTCCATGGTTGTTGTGTTGGGTCCCCTGCCTTTCAACTTTGGGAAAAACATGGCCTCAGTAAAGCTGTGGGCTGTGTGTCTTGATATCAAAAATTTAGTAAGGACCCTGTTGTTTGCTGCTCCCCACTGGCAAATACAATTTTCAAGGAGAATGCTTTTGCATCCATATGACAAAATATTTCCATAACTCTTTGAGGAATGTTGCCCACAACTATCTTACTGATTCATAAAAGTATTGTTGTTAAAGGTGTTGAGTGTTGGACTGCCAAGCATACATCAGCACTACTCCAAGACCAAGTGTTCTTTGGCCAAAAGGATGTCAAGAGAAAGTTAACTTGCCAAAAAAAATATATTTTTGTAACACGTTGAGCTTGACATAGCAAACTCAGATGGAATCTTGCTCAGAAACCAAGGCCCCAGTTACAAAAACCAAAGCCCCAGTTACCATGAACAGAGTTTAATGGTTTTGAGGATGGTAGCCGGCCAACCCATTAGAAGGCCGCGATCATTCCAATCAGGAATGAGTTAGAAGCACCAGTGACCAGCATCTATGTTACAGCGGAATTGTTGGGGCATCCCCCAATCATTTCTCCCTGCCGTTTGTCAAGACAGAGCGGCTCATCTTCTCCAAGAGCTCCGCTTCCGTCATGACGGTGGGACCCAGCCCATGCCCCGCGCCGTGGCCGCCGTGGCCGTAGCCGCCGGGTCCACCGTGGCCATAGCTGCGGGGCTCAGGCGGCGGCGGATAGTGACCATAGCTGCGGGGCTGCTTGCAGCCCAGGCGGCCACTGCCACCGCCTGAGATCTCAGGGCTGAGAACATGAGTCCAGTATGCTAATGCTGTTTTTCAACATACTGAAATTGAAATAGGAATTAGTTGCACGTACTGGTAGTTCAAAAAAACGATATTGAAACTATAGCGGCCTTGATTCATACGATCCTGCTATAAAATCACCCAAAAGGGGACCGCACAGTGAACAAATTCAAGAATAAATCAAGTTTTCAAGACCGTGTTCATGCATAGCAAAGGAATTGTTGCAGCGAACCTTTCGGCAACTCTCCATGCTCCAAGTTCTTTACACAAGCTGCTTTAGTCAATGGGAATTCCAGGATCCTAAATTGGAGGTACTGTACCATATAAGGCCATATTTTGTGGGGATATTCCCTTACATAGGCCTTATATAGGCCTTATATATGGTAGGTACCTCCAATTTAGGATCCTGGAATGGCCATTGATTTAAGTGGTCACCTGGAAAGTCATGTAAATATATAATATATCTGGCCCACTGGACCTGAAATATGCAACACAAAGCTGTACCAGTCTGTACCAGTGAGCAAACAAGGCATGTTTTTTTGGGCTCATCGCCACCAGCAGCAACAACAAGTCTGAAGCGAGGTGCAAATGGTATTCGTCTCGCGATTGGTAAAGCCACATGGGCATACCCAGGCCATGTGGCGGCGTCCCCGTCCACGACGGCTTTGATTTTTAGACGCAAACTGAGCCAAGATATGACGGCACCAGCACAATGCCGTCGGAATCCCTGGATAGTAAGTGCCAAAACACAAATTCACCTGGCCAGGGAATATCCATCATTGGTGTTGCATTTTTTGTACACAATTAGTTTGACTTGGTGCCTGGGTTCCCGTGAGTAGAACAAGATTCTGACACCAGCCAAACCAAAGAATCATGATCTTGGATAACTGTTCGCTTCTTGTTGAACAGGAGGATATTCATGATTCGGCTAATCCAAATCAGCAACTGATGACCAGTGCTTAATATGCTTACGGATTCGAAATTAGAATCACTTGGAAAGAAATAACACATCTGATGAACAGAAACCGCTGTCAGGCAATGATCTCACCATATAAGATCCCAGTCACCAGTGCTACAAACATGTCCTTCCACTAGATATTCTTTTGTGGGGCAGTGACGAAGCCACGAAGCCGAGGTGAAACATCTTTACCATTCCATCTACCTGTGCAATGGTCAGCCACGTGAGTGGTTCATACATAGGTTGTAACCCATGATAAGCATCTAATTCTAAGAATTTGTAACCCAGTAATGATAGGAATTCTCCAATTACAGTAGGCAACTGCATGGCCCATCTATGGACAGGACCCATCTCCTTTTTCCCTTTGTTTCCACGCGCTGCTCGGACGCTCAACCGTTCTCATCGCCTGGGTGGTCAATGGTTGGTCCACTGAACACGCGGAAAACTACTGAAATATGCCAATCAAATCACATAGTATATTGGATCATTTCTGAAGTTAGGCCTTGGTTGGCACATCATGCACTATCCCATTCATTTTGTGAGGTGCTAGGGAATACAAACAGACTCAACCGACTTGGGGACAAAAGGTTCCATTCCATCATTTTTTAATTATCATAATGATCTAATCTACATGGTAACTATCTCATGGTAACTATATATATATATATCTGGATTATCTCTGGTAGTATTCCCAAGGGCCAACGGCGCAGAGTCAGAGATCATCTATGGCCCCGGGCCAAAGCCAGAGACAGGCTGGGCCATGAACTTGACCTCGATGTAACTTGCCCCCTTGTAGCCATAAGGAAATAATCATAAAATGCCTTTACGATGTTCAAATCATAGTCATTATATTTATATATATATATACATACATACATACATACATATATATATATTATACGGTTATACGTATTTTTCCTTTTCATTAGATAATGAATGATAATTTGATATAAATTCAAGGTGGTTTAACTCTAGCAAATGGCATGGTCCAACTTTGCTACTCATCTTCTTGACTTCCCCAGTGCCCAGAAGCGACCAAGCGGCGCAGCGTTGTACAGATCGCTTGAAGGAGTTGTAGAAGGGGTTGCTTTCCTAGGTTGGCAGAACGCTGGAAAGTGACCTACGTACCGACCGGAGACTTTTTTGTAGTCTATGGCGCCTAGATAGATACAAGCATGATCACCTGAACAAACGAAACTGGGTTGTCAAATAAGTGACCCCTACAGTATCCATGGCCGAAAGGAAACAATATCATCTACCCTTCAGGTCATTTTCAACCAGCATCATCATGGTCTGGGCCTTACATCCTTCATAAACATCTCAAAAATCAAACCAGTCAACAACCCAACTATCCCCTATCTATCTCCAAAAATGGCACCGTCAAACTTCCCAAGGTTCTGGGTCATTGGAAGGCAGCGGGAGATACAGCGCAGCATGCACCAGAAAGAGAAGCACCAGCGCTGAGGCTGTGAGGAAGTCTTCCCGGATCACCTCTCAATCGGCTTCGCCCACAGTGACATCATTGTATATGTTGGTTACATTAAAAAAATGAGTATCCAGCAAGATGGTAACTATATGGAACTATTATTGACCTATATCGAGCCAAAGATGTCGCGATATGGGGATTTCATCAACAAACTTTGGTGATTTGGGGATGATTGGAGCCCCTAGTTTCGAGAAAGCGGCTGGAAAATCATGAGCCCCGCACTTGCAAATGATTTACTTGTCTTTGATGGTTCGGAACCGAAGATTCTGGCTGCTGCCATGTTAAATCGCCATCCAAACCTTGTGTCCTACTCTAAGCGCCACACGCAGGACACACCGAAGCTCAGCAATTGTAACATCACCGCGGGGATTGACGACAAAATCCTCAGCCGGTGCCATGGCATTCTGGGTGAAGCTTCCACCGAATAAGTCTTCACTTTGGGGAAAACTGGCTGGGGCATGGTTCAATTCTATTTTAACCTTATCCTCTGGCAATCTAATCTAAACCCAATCTGATTCTCGTAATGCACGAGTTTCCTGCATACTTTTCCCATCAATACTGTAGATTTCCTGGGAAGCCAAGCTAGGTCCCCGGGGGTAAAAATTCAAGCAATCCAGCAATCCACTATCATCATCATTAATCATTATAGGACCATTTAATACCATCTATAATCCATTAATTTGATAAACATGTTTAGTCGTGATCATCCCAGGATTATCCTATGATTAACATTTATTAACGAGCTTATCCCAGCTGTACCTTCCAAGCCACTCGGTCTCAGAGGTTGAGCAAAGAAGCCCTAACGCAACCATCAGCAGTGGCCTGGGACCATGCCCGGGTTTGTCCGCTGATCAGAGCTGGGGTTCCATCAAAATTCACCAAAGATGCGACCCGAAACATGAAGAAATCCAGCACTCTATAGGTGGAAAAGACTGGAAAAGGATGAAATGAAGCAGATAAAATTTGAAAGGCGTTAGAGCACTGAAGAACTGTAGACATTCCATAGACTGTCATGGTGTTGACAAGCAATAACAAAACCGGACAGAAAGAAGTCTGCCGAACGTCCCCAATGTTGTGGCACCAAGGGTTACATACTTGGAATGCCACTTTTCTTGACCCACCACAGTTGTGAGGTGCAACACGCTGATAGGCTATAGCGGCTTTAAGAAAGCATTGAAAAGTCAGGGAATTAGTAGCCCAACAAGATGGACATGGCCGGACATGGTTGCAGGTCATGCTTAAATCACATTATTTTTGCTATGGTATGCTATGATAAAGCTACCCCTGTGGATTGCGTCTGCACCGCTAAGCTAGGCTAAGCTACACTGATGCCATGGAGGTCGCCAGTGCCGCACTGCTGCGTTGCCATGAGGTTCCTGCCGCCTCCAGCCAGCTGACACTATGACAGGATTTCTGGTTACAGGGCCCCAAAACATGGCAACTTTAATGGGCCATGGGGCTAGCTAATTATCTGATAAGCAGTTGGGTTACGGTACAACCACCCACTACAGTATATATCCCAAACTGTGATCCATTTACAAGCTAGTACCTGCAGCACTTAATTCCATGGGACATCTAGCAGAACATAGTCAATGTATGGGAGTTACAAGCGGGAACAAGTTTGGCCTCTATCTAAGATATTTATGTATGTAACCACACTGACACCCTGCACTATTGACTATTACCAACTACTGTACCCACAATAGCCAACAACATCAGCCATGGATTGATGTTGGCCCCTCAATCGTTTACCTGAAGGGGTGCTGTACCACTTTTCGTAGCATTAGGAAGAACTTGGTCAGCCACAGGCTGAGAATCCTGGAAATAATTATTTTGTCATTTTTTGTCATTTACGACGTAGCAGATTATATACATCTTTTTCCAACACACAATTTAAACAGGCCATGGTGTTTGATCTGAATCAATGATTTCAAGATTCAACAATTTTTCCAAAAACTATCTGCCTAATTTTGGATGCTTAACCAACCGTTCGCCAGGATTTAACCAGCCGTTGCGTGTGAAAATTCCTCCATGTAGAACTAGTTAACTAGTTTGTGTTTGTTTACCGGGAACTTATGCTCGAAAACAACAACATTGAAAATAATCATCAAAACATTTGAACATAAACAATGGTTGAACACGCCAACCAGAAACTAGATTCAGAATAAATTGAGAGGAAAGTCAAATGGGGAGCCAAAGGGCTACCAAGAGTATCCACCCATATGATACATATAGATGACTCTTCCTTATGAAACTAGAAGTTATCCCAATTATCTCATTTTCACTCTCATGTAATGTATTCTCATGATTCTCCATTGTTGTTGGGGAAATCACCATTTCGGGTGGTTTCATCAGTTTCATCCCATAAAAACAGGTCATTCCCCATCCAATGCCGGGCTGCCGCCTCCTGGCCGACGCCCAGAAGTAGCGCCGCAGCGTCCAAGCACAGCAGGCTCCGCCCGAGTGGGGCGTCCGCCTGAAAGCCCCCATGAGCTGGGGAGAAGTCGGAAATGTCCAATCCTTCAAGAGGTAGAACTACATGGCTTAGCTGGGTTCATAAACTTAGAAATAGACCTCTCCTCATGTATAGCTGGTTGATTGATTAGTATTGATTGGGATTCCGCCTTCAATGCTTCTGTTGGTGGTCTGATCCGCTGCACATCTCATCGAAATTCATCAAATCTAGAAGGTTGAAAACCAAGTCTTGTTGCGACAATGCATGAACTTACACCTCATATCTCCCGGAAACATGCTTGTGGTTTGTGCACCTCAATTGATGAATCATTGATGGTGAAATCCCTGGTATGCTAATGTCATGAAGAATCCGGACTTTTCCCATTTAGATGGGTCATGGATTTACTAAGTGGTGACCGGATTAGATCCCTCACAAGAGGGCATAGAGTAGATTTGTAAGCCATTTCTTTTGCCCGGGCGTCCAGAGGGTTTGCCCTTGTAAGCCATTTACAAACCAATTATAAAACTAACCATGACCCATCTCAGCAAGGATATCTCCTGCAAACCGGTTTTATTCCGGGCGAGTCCCCATCAATGGTGAAAGTCCACCTTGTTAGCAGACTTCCCAAAAAGATATACATTAAGCAAAACAAATCATAAAAAAAAACAAACAAACAACTTTGTAATATGAATCATGTTTCTATTTTTTCGGATCATGTTTCTATTTCTTTAGCTGTTTCATCTGTTTCATGGTGTTTCTACACTATAACTTTATAATTCTCAAACTAATTTTATGCATCATAAATTCCCATTTCCCCCATCGCCGTCGTTTTTGAAAGGCCCCAGTGCCTGGTGGCTCCCGCTGGCGCCGCTGGTCGTTTCCGCGGCGGCGGGGCAGGTGGTCAGCATGGTGAAGGCCAAGACGCCGCACAGCGCCGCGTGGAGCGGGGCGGAGGCCTGGCAGTTGCAGCTGGAAGGACGCGGATGATGGAAACCTATAGCTTTACAGACCCCGAGTATCCCCGAGTTATATGGATCATGTTTGATAATCACCAGATTATAGTGGAGATAAGATGAAAGTGGATAATGATCGAAATGATAAGCAGATTGAAGTTTCTTATGGCTGTTCACTTGAACAGTATGGCTGGGAACACTAGGAAGTAACAATCATACTTTGCCCCTGTTGCGAGACAACTGTTTGGCCAAGAACCTTGGTGTTGGTTCTAGGCCTGTTCATTTTGGCGTCCATCCTATCGTGAGAAGGGGAAGGGTTACAATTACAAACGCGAAACTAAGCTGGCTGGGATAGCCCATGAACATCCTCTATATGCGAGACAGCAACAAGAACCGAAAGTGGAAATCGGCCAAAATGTCAGGATCGCCAGGAATAGTGGGGATATGTGGGGATTGATGGTCTTTGAATGTCTTTGACCACCAAACATGCTGATGTGCTGTGAAGCCGTGGGTGACCAAGGAAAGAAAACTGTTTAAATTGTTGGAGTTTGACAGAAAATATGCCGTATCACTTCTTTTGCTGGCGTGTTAGATGCAGCAAGTTCCAAGACTAGACGACTAGACTCTCGACCTTTGGTAAATGCAGCATGACAATGTGGGAAATCACAATCCTCTGATAACAACTAAACACGGGTTTATCGGTTTATCTGAAATGAGACAGCACTAATTAGATTGGATTGGATTCCTGCGCCTGACTTCATGGAATTGGGGGCCCGATGAATCCTATGGGATTGGCATGCTGTGAACATATTCATATGCCTGCGGTGAATGGTGCATGCGTGGGCTGTTTGAACTTGCAACTTCGGGTTCATATCAGATGCGGCTTCGAAGGCTTGCCCGGTGCATCTGGCATCTTCCGGCGCTGAGCTGCCCGTTCTTGGTTGCGTGTCTTGACTAAATGGCTTTGTAGCCTACCCGATTACCACTGGCGATTGCAATCAGCCCAAAGAACGCCGGTGCATGGCAATACCCAGAAAGTGAATTTTCTCCCAATTAATTGTAACAGCCACAAGTCCTCAGATCGGGGAGCCTGAAAGAACAAGAAACTCAGCCACCCAAAGGCCGCTACCTGAGTGACAAAGCCCCAGGTGGCAGCCCAGAGGATCCACCGACTTTCGCGGCTCAACTATAGACACATGATGACACATGGCTATTTGAAAAACACAGCTTAGAAACAGTCCTGACAGTCTAAACATATTGCATCACAAGTAACAAATGGAACATTTTCCCATAGCCTTCAGTTCCTGAATCGATCCTTTGCAGCTGAGAGTCCCAAGCAAGATACCACGGTTTCCGCCATGCTGGCCAATTCCCCTGTGGGGCACACCTGCTGGCGGGTGGCCAGCGGTTTGGTTTACAGGCTCAATGGGTCCTGAGAATTGGCTGTGTTTCATTTTGCGGGGTATATGATATGTATATCCATCGGTATACAAAAACATAACAATAAGAACCAAAAAGAAACCCTGGCCCCCTGGCCCTGGCTTATTATGGGATTTATCCCGTCCTTGATAAATTTCCCTGCCAGTTCTTTAGGGCGCTTCCTGAGCTTGCCTTAAACATCTTATCATCCTATAAGCTTCAAAGACACTTGGGCCTCAGTACAAGCATCTTTGGGCGGTGCCACACACACAACCATCACGTCTTTACGGGGTGTGGATCTGGGGGAGGGCCTGCATTACATCATCATACGGAATCATACGCATCAGTAAGAACTCTACGACTGTATTGACTGCAAGCCCCGCATCACTCTGAGGCACCGTGCGTATAGGCTATATACTATATATAATGTTCAGGAGGTGCAGCGTATATAATTAATGTCAACCCCGGATTAATAAACCATGGTTTATTAATTAGGGGGGTACTCCCTAAATAGTCATAATCTGATACTTAAATGGTATCCCCCCAATTAAACAACCTAGGGGTTTATTAATCCAGGGTTGACATTACACCCATCTCCGGCAAACAAAGAGCCCGCTCAACTGAAACTACTCACCAATCTTCATATAACCCAGGTCCCATCAAATCCCTATATGTCCCTCTGTAGATATTCCACCTGATTCACGCCATCACGTTCAACATCCATGCCGTCGTTGCCCCGCCTCGCCAGCATGCCACAGAAGTGGCCGCACACCAAGAAGTTCCCAACCGCATCCTGCCGACCCAAGGTGACCAAGCTGAACTCACCAGCGACATCTAAGGATTTCAGATATGCATCTGGCTGGAAAATAAACATGACCTGGTGACCTGACATATTTTTTCATATTATCATATATTATCAAGGTCACTTTGGGATGATTGCCCCTACCATCTACAGCACTGTGAGCTGATTGTGATGCCATTCTCATTTAGCCAGGTGGGTGGTTCAGCTTAACTAAGGAGCCCAAAATTACTCCATACGTTCCTGCGCCAAATGACTCCTAAAATGAGCAAAACCCAATGATCAACTGGGCTTCATATTCTTCTTCGTGGAGAATATGAAACGACATGGGTCAAAAGGGGTCTGGATCTCAGTTTCACCGGCTCTCCTGTATTGATTGCCTCCAGAAACCATCAGAATTTAGAGGCTAAATCATGTGTCTTCCACCAGAACGATGGCCAAACAGAATCCTGGTCGTTGGATGCCCCGCCCGCCCCATGATCCCATATGCCTCCAGGCAGCTGACGGGCAGCCAGCGCACTTTGGAGGGCACTTGCAGGCCGTGAAAGACGAAATACCAAAGACCTGAGGACAAAATGGTGCCCTATGGAGGGCCCATTTTAGGCAGCTTGTTGTATACAATCAATTGGGGAAAAGCAAGGGGAAACATGTGTGCACATTCTTGTCCGCCTTCCTACAAAATGTCCAACCAATCAAATGATGGTCTTTGGGGCTTTAGAGGAAAAAGGACAAACATGAGCGAAAAAACGGGAAGTTGCATGTGCCTCGGAGCATTAGCAAGCTGATCTGATTGAATTCTTCATCTTTAATCTTATCAGTGTCGTTCATGAATGGAAACATGCTTAACTATGTAGATGGAACATGGGCTAAACCAATGCAAGTAGAAACATATGGACAACTACAATGCCACATGAGTGGATTCAATGTACACGCCCATCAAATGGATGATTGCAAACTCTGAGCCCACATCATTTGCCGACCAGACCTGCCAGGATCCTTGATACCTCCTCTCCCTTTGCTCATTAACATCGCCTCCCATTTACTATGCTCTTGGATCTGTCCAAAATCTGCGTGTGGGGAAAAGAGTCAGGGCCCAATAAAAAAGGGTTCAGGCCTGAAACCTATGGCTTGTGGGTCTCCAATATTGACCCATACTCTGGGAACTCAATAAAACGCAGAACTGTTGCTGTCCACTCCTTGCATCTGAACATGCCAATATAGGATTAATGTCTAAAAATCATATCCCAAATTCGGGACCAAAAAAACCACGTTACTTCCGTATACATTATGAGTTGCCCATGATTAATCACATAAGATCAAGCCAAGTAGCCAGCCAACATCCACAACGCCCATGCCGCGGCCAGTAGAACCAGATCTGCCAGTTGCACTGCTTGCATCCTGGGGGAGATATCGCCTGACTTGGATGATGGGATGCCATGAAACCAAGGGGCAAACATGTACAGAATATGCACATGACTTGACTGGACACAAGTTCAGCCTCAAACCTGGGATTCAAATCTTGATGTTCATGTATTTTCTATTCATGCGGTTTCAGATTGCCTGGCTGCCCGAGAAATAAGCAAGGTTGACACCCATATTTTTCCTGAAGCATGAATCATCACTCCCCTACAGTTGAGGTCGCATATTTGAGTTTTTTTGGCGGTCACAGAACTTTGGGTGCGCGACAGGTAGTGGCTCTAGTATACTCTAGTGCTGCTCCTCCTCCGTTGTCTCAAAATTTCCTCATCGCTCGTGGCCGTCCGCACCGCATCGCGCGCCACCGCGTCGTTCTTCGACGCTTTGGCGGACTTCTTCGGCATGGCCAGCAGGGAGGATCCGACGATTTTTTTGGAGGGGAACGAGCCGGGGTGGTTATAGCGGGGTAACCCAAGGCATCCCAGGGCCCAAGGAAGTATGTAAGTGTCAGGAAAATTGCAGTTGATCCACGATGTCAAGGCCGGATTGATTTCAAAGTTCATTTCATCCGTCCATCATTTATAGATTCTGTGCCGCTGCTTTGGTCTCCGGCCATCCTGCTTTGCCTCTCTCTCTCTCTCTCTCTCTCTTTCCCAAAGCCTTCTAGTCAAGATGAGATTAGTTCAAGTATACAGTGCATACATATTGCCATTGGCCTTTTGGCAAGGATTTTCCAAGAAGAATCATGAGCGAAACATGCTGCAATATATGTGGGACAATCAAAAGGCTTGTTAACCTGCCATCTACTCCATGCTTGTCGACATGTTTTTGCGAACGCTGGCAGCAAAGTAGCCACGGCAGTTTGCTGATCCCCTGCTAAGTGGGTCAACCCATCCAATCCTGATGTTGGGATGTTGGGGAACCCTCCCAAAATGCCATGGCAGGTTTGATGACTGGAATCCTTTGATCATGGAGGCTGTGTCCGACCAGGAGCAAGCCCACAACTATCCGTCTTGGTCGCATGAGTCTCATGGTTGTTTTCGCACTGCTGGTGGCTATTGTTGGGTAATATCACCCCCTTCTTGATGTCCAATGATGTCCAAATGCAAACCCCAAATTCACACCTGTAACTTGAAGTATTCTCCATTTGGCAGTGTGTCAAAACCTTGTACCCCTGGTGAACATCAAAATAGCTGGGATTTATGGATGTGCTTCCCCCTAAAAATGGTATTAATAGGTATTGATCCATACCCATTTGATTGTGCAAGGAGTGCCGATTCAATTTGACTTTTGAGGAAACAAAGACTGGACTGCTTGGATCCCATCATTACCCTCGCCCTATTGCTCATAGCTTGTAGCCTAGTCACTGACGAGTTAATATTGGAATGGTCCAAATTGGATGTTCAAAATTGGAACAGCTAAGACATGTGGGTCTTAGCAGGGATTCCGACATTGGATCAGTCATGACATGTCATGACCAGCCCATGCGCGGTCGCAACCAAATGGTAGAGGACTGATGCCTGAGAGGGGAAGAACCAAGATTTGGTTTGAAGAAATTGACAGGAAAAACATTGTATGTGTTTTTCAAAATTGACTTTAGTTGGTATATAACCCCAAAACTATGATCAGGTACCAACTCACTAAGCGGAACTGTACCCCCCAAATTAAACCTCCCCTGAGTCCAGCTGCCCGCCGAGTGGAGGGTATTGGTTTTGCCTCAGGCAGCTTGATCCCCGGGGCTGGAGCCCCAGACAAATGGCTTTGGACGATGAATCGTGTTGGATTTTGTGGTGTAGATCCAGTTTCTGATTGGATTGGCCATCTAGTCCTTTTCATGTTGTGCTGTCTGTGGTGTCTGTGGTGTCTGTGGTGTCTGGATATATGCCTTCCGGTAAACTAACATAGCTATGGAAAATGGCCCAATTGTAGATGGTTTACCTATTAAAAATGGTGATTTTCCATAGCTATGTTAATTTACCAGAGGGTACTTGTTAGGCTCCAAAAGAACCAAATGGCGATACAGGGTTAGACACTGCGACCTGGGCGTGACTCCTCCATGAACCCATGACCTTCGAAGATCACCTGGATGTCAGTACTCATCCGTAAACAAAGGTTATGATGGGATATGATTCTGATATGATTCTGATATGATGGGTCACGGAGTCACAATGAGTCACATGGGTCTGCCACGGCATTTGTTATTGGTTGCCGTGTCTTTTTTTACACTCGTGCCATTCGTCCCACACCTTTGACCAATGCTACCCGCTCTGCCTGTGAATACGGTGGTGCCGCGGCAAACAGCATCACCTAGCCGGCAGGGAGCAGCTCAAACAAAAACTCAGGCAGGGGCTAGCCACAATGCACAGGCCGCAGTCAGCCAACCCAACACAAAACAGTGCAACTATTGGGAATCACAAGAGTGAGGACGTATTGGATGGCTCAGTATGAAGTGGACTGGCGGGCCCATCTATATCAATCCCAAATCAAAATAAATATCAAAGGCTACACGCCAAGGTGCTTCTGCATAGTCATGTTTGAACGTTCAAACAGTTTTGCTCGGCTTCCCTTTCCAAGGTTTTCTAGCCTCCTGTTCCATCTGGGTCAACTAATTTTGGCCCTCACCAGATTGTGATCTTAGTGCGGAACCGTCTGATTTAGAAGCCCCAGTTTGGACCACCCGTGGAATATTATGGAAGTTACCGCTGTTTACCAGCACTTTTGCACGTGAAGCATGTAGCTGGCTATGATGGACCCAGGCTCCCTCACTGCGGTCAGCACCAGGAGCGCTGATAGAGTTACGGGCCTGGTTGCCGCACCAATTGGGATTTGAGCAAACATAGCTGTGAAGAAACAACCATCATCTACCATCTGAGAGTTTCTTGTGTTGAATTTGTTGTTTGAGTTTCAACCTTCCCATGTTGTTTTTTAGATACTAGAATGAGCGACTTTTGCGTGAAGTCTCAGCAAACCAGAGGCGATGCTTTTCAAAGAACCGAAGGGGAAAAACATAATCACAAAAAACGTTGCCGTCATACCATAAGGGAGCAGAAACAAAGCAGAAACAATAAGATAAATTCAAGTTTCATGTTTGGTATTTTATGTGGGATTCGCAGCCCCTTTCCTTCCCAGGGTCTGCTTTAATGTAGGGATGAGTGACTACGTGAAGTCCAAACGATGCAAAAGTGACGCTTTGCAAGCAGCTACAAAAGAAAATCAATGCATATCACCATGCCAAACTTCCAAACATGCATGTCAAACGATGATTCTCAACATATCTTCAAAATGCACTGCAGACTCCCAAAAGTAAATGAATTGGCTTGTGTCTGCATTCAGTGGTCCCTCACCTCAAACGCTTCCAACGCCCACCCTGGATCTGGGGCTGTGTGACGCCGAGTGTACGCTGCCCGGGAGAAAAAGCAAAGGAAAAGAGTACCTCGGAAAGTGCTTGGCAGCTTCAACCCATCCCAACAAAATTAGGCTTGAAATGGCTTGAACGAATGAAAGCCAACTCGAATCATCATTCTTTGGAGAGGCAACAGATAACATTCCAAACCATCAAGTCCAAAAAAAAGGCCGTTCCCCATTTGGAATGGCAAACATTTGATACCCAAAGGCCGCCTCACACAGCCAACAAATGTTTCAATATGATCTATGTAATAATATATAATAATATAATATATATAATATATACTATGTTCTTATGTGGAAAGTTGGTGAGCTCTTGGATCCAGCATTTTCATGCATGTTCCTACGTGCATGGCCCAGAATCATCCCTGAACCAGCCCGAGGCACGTGATCAGAGTTGACAATATGTGTGACCTCAGCTCGTGAAGAATGCTCCGCTGAAGAAATGCCTTCTGAGATACCCTCTGGCAACCTACCGTAGCCGCGGAAAACTGCCAGCTTTACTGGGAAAAATTGTTATTATAAGTTTACAAATCATCTATAAAAGGACCATGTTATGTTAGATTAACAAAGGGCAGTATCTTATTTGGGTTGATCTTGAAAATGAAACCCACCCGACAGTTGATGATGAATCCATTTTTTTTGTCCATTCCATCCCATTCAATAGCCAGGTTGAGGCATTTCCCATGTTAAGATCCATGTTACCTCCCAAGATCATTGAAGATTGTTGATATATTTACTGAGGAATCTCTGGTGCTCCAAAAATCCACTGAGAGAGGTGGCCAATCACGGAACATCACCACCATCCAAGCAAAGAACAACATTTGGCCACTGGATAAGAGGCATCCGACCAACAGCAGGCGACCCCTTCCCCCAACAATAACAGCAGCCTTGGAAATCAGCTAAACTGTGGGTTCATAGAAGCGGAAAACCTGGTTGCATCAGTGCGTGCCATCAAATTATATCAAACTGCATGGGCGGAACTTGGCCCAACAGAATCATTGGTATTCAGCCAGCCTCCCCCAAAGCCAACCCCAGAAGCCGTAATGGTTGTTGGTGGTCAATAAGTCCGTAATAATGCCACTATTGTGGGAGAGGGTCACCTTTGGGGGGGTTGAATACCCATGGCAGAACCCAGAACAAATGACCAAGAACTCTTATCTCCCCTACCAGCCCCGCTTAGCCGCCCGGCACATTCTTGACCAGCGCAGAGCAACGTTTCACCAAGAGCCCTGCCACCCATCCGTGGAGCAGCCTGCGGTGCGGTTTGTGGCCAACTCCAATGGGGGCTGGTTCGGGGTGTGTGTTTTCACTGAAAGAGTCGAGTAGAACCTAGCTGACAATTTGTTATTGCCTGAAACAATGTGGATACCCTACCTAAAACATACACAACTCAATCTCTGGAACTGCTGACCCTCCCATTTATAGACGATGTTTCTCTTCAATAGGGTGAATTTGAACAAGGCTATGCAAGCAGTCTTTAATACAAAACGAATTCTCTAAGATCTCACCATTAGGCTCCTGATTGTCTCGCAAAAGGTTGGTCAAACAGGCCAAACATTGTCAGCGTCGAGTATCCTTTGAAGGGGGTACCCAGGAAAATTACCAACCTTAGATACACTTCAATAAATAAATATGTAGCTGTTTAGCTTACCAATAACCATCCCGTTGTACTGGTTAGTTGATGGGCGACCCCCTGTCTGTCATCAGCCAATCCCCCAATAACCAATCTCTCTCTCTCTCTCTCCCTCCATCGCCATCAGGTCTCCCCCACAATAACCCATCAACAAGGCTATTTTTCAATGGCTCTTGTGTCATATATCAACATGTCTTCAGATAGTTCGTCTTTCTGCATCCCCGCCAGAGCAAGATCACAGGGAGTTGCGAATGCCACGTGTGGATCCTTGGCTGAACCACTGTTGCTGGGAAAACTTGGTGAACATCTGAAGGGATTGAGAAACACCATGGGATATCATGATATCACGCAATTCATTGCATCATAGTCCTATCGAAACAGCACGGTATCCTTGCCGTTTCATACATTTCAAAATGACATGGTGATCATGATGGCCAGCCGCTTAGTCCCCGCGTTGCTTCAAGCCTTCAGCTGGTGACATCCGAGTACCCCAACTGATCCCAGGAGCATGCACCAGCACTGTCTGAATCATCCTGTTGGGACTGGGACAGCTGTTTCTTGGATCCAAAGAACTTTTCGGTTGGAAACAACATGACCCAACCACCCTATGGCAGTAGAAAGCACAAATAAACTCACCGGGGTTCAGCCGGGAAACATCAATGCATAATCACCAAAGTGAGATATATCAAACCATTAATCAGTTGAAACCCAAAGCTTTCACATGCCATAATCCACTTGCAAGAAGGTTCTCGATGTTGGGAACCTTGCCAGGCGGCCCTGCCAACTACAGTCTGCCCTTTGAGGTGAACAATAATTACTGGTTTTACCCTCAAAAGTAGCAGGTTTGAAAGCAACAGGAACGTTGATGCCAACAACGATAGACTTACCCTCTGGTAAACTAACATAGCTATTGAACATTGCCATTTATACTTGATTTACCTATTAAAAAGTGTGATTCTTCCCATTGCTAGCAGGTTTACCAGAGGGTATACATCTTACAATCAGAATACATGAGATCCTGACAAACATGAAGCCCAACAGCGATCCACTGAAGGGGTCCGCCTCCACATTGGCCACGAAGCTCAGGAAAGCACAGAGAAGCTCGCCGAACATCAAGTTGGTCTGGGAGAAAAACATCCCAGGTGGCTTGGAATAGCACAAACAGGGATGATATGGGATGATAGTTGACAATTGATCCCACACGGAAGGGACTGCAAAATACTGGTTAAAAACCAACTCCCTGCTATTCAGTGATAAAGAATGATGAAAACATAGATTGCTTGCTGCCAGAGGCTACCCATCTTCTGCAGTTAGAGCTGGGTGGTCTTTCAGCTGGTGGAAAAATAAGCGCTGACACATGAAATGTCCAATGATTTCGTGCCCCACCTACAAACCCTGCCAACATGGCAACGGCCAAGATCATGCCCTTCAGACCCTAGACCATGATAGCAATGAGACGCGCCCCCTCTAGGTTGGAAAATAATATGTATAATATTGTGGATACATTGCTGTTCTCTGACTAAGGTTGCAAAAGGCATGCATGTTCATCAATTTCATACCTGCGAGTTTTGGAATCAACAGGGTCCGGCGGTTCGCGTGACGCCTTCTGAATGTAGAACGGCCTCAGTTCGATGCCGGCACAACATTGACGAGTACAGCCCACAGGCCCAAAGGAGTCACAGTAGTTGTACAATCCCCTCCAGGCCGTTTGCAGTTGTAATTGTTGTGGCCAATAAAAAGCTTGTGCGCCATGTGTAAGCATACACAAGCGAAGTTTCAACATGTTTCAACCTACGTAAACGTAAGAGAACTCACAGGAAAACAATTTCACAATCTAAATCAAAACCAACAATAGCCTAAATTATAATAAATTATATATTATATTAAAATTATTTTGAATTATATTATCATATCAATGTATGGCCCCGTTCGCACCCAAGACTATTGGAACCATATGAAAACTCATATTTTTCACAAAGAACCCATATAGAGTATAGTACAATTATTGATATCCCCGTTAAAACGCCATTGATATCCATTGATCCATTTTGGAATGGGCCAACACAGGGGTGCCACAATAAAATAGCTTACAATAGACAACATCTGTCGATACTATATGACCATATTTGACCCATGTCGATACACATGTCGACATATCACATATCACCAAGAAAACACATGTCTACCCTGTCTACGGACTACCCCTTATATGCCCATGACAACCTATATATCAACAATTTTACACACTATTAACTCCAATTTGAGGATCATCAATATCATCAATAATCTCATTACAGGGCTGCTCTGAACACACCAAATAACAGGGAAAAACTGCTTGAATTCAGAGGCAAAGTGATCAGTTTTCCCACCCAAAAGTGGCTATGATTCATGGAACCAAGCTCCGGGCACTTCATAGCGATCCTTCAGGAAGCGTTCTGCGAAGATGGAGGCCTCGGCAGTTCGGCTGCTTGAAGCATAGTTAGTCACCGTCTTCCCAAAACACCTGCTGGGAAGAGAAGCCCATTTTGACTCGCAGGGATCAAATTCCATTCCATGGAGCCCCTTCGAATTACTTGAAAAGGCTTGTTAAACCTGCAAATCCTGCAAGGAATTTTTGGAGGGATTGAAATTGACCAAGCACGGGGACGCGGCTGGAAACTGCCCACTGGGGTTACCTACCACTTTGACAGCCCGGGATAGGCTGGGTACCCCTCTGGCAAGCACACAAGGCAGCGGAAAACCATCGGTTTATATTGATGTAGTACCAAACAATTCTCGTTGCCATGTTCTATTCCATATAATCCATCCCAGTCCTTGTCCAATCTTGTTTAAACTTTGAACATGCTGAAAAAAAACAATAAATTACTTTACTTCGTGTGATCCCCACCATGACATTTATACATTTTCTTACTGGCAAATCTTCTGGCTTTCTATCTGGCATATCTTCTGGCATATATTCCGACATATCTTCTGGCATATGTTCTGGCATATCTTCTGGCCTATCTTCTGGCATTCTATCTGGCAAATCTTCTGGCATTCTATCTGGCATATCTTCTGGCATATATTCTGACATATCTTCTGGCATTCTATCTCGCAAATCTTCTGGCATATCTTCTGGCATTCTATCTGGCATATCTTCTGGCATTCTATCTGGCATATCTTGTGGCATATTATCTGGCAAATCTTCTGGCATTCTATGTGGCATATCTTCTGGCATTCTATCTGACATTCTATCTGGCATTCTATATGGCAGATCTTCTGGCATTATATCTGGCATATCTTCTGGCATTCTATCTGGCATACCTTCTGGCATTCTATCTGGCATATCTCATGGCTATCTTCTGGCATTCTATCTGACATTCCATCTGGCATATCTTCTGGCATTCTATCTGGCCACCTGCAAAGTAAGAAGTGGCATTGCCCCGGTCACTCTACCACACACGCGCGAGTTTGCAAGTAATATATAACATACTTGTCTGACATTCTTTCTAACTTTCTTCTGCACATTCTTTGTCCCATATCTTCCTACATGAGGTCCGGCAGGGAACACTTGGCGTGGATACTCGCGGTTGAGGTCCGGCAGGGAACACTGGGCGTGGATGGTCGTGGTTGAGGTCCGGCAGGGAACACTGGGCGTGGATGGTCGTGGTTGAGGTCCGGCAGGGAACACTGGGCGGTGATGGTCGTGGTTGAGGTCCGGCAGGGCACACTGGGCGTGGATGGTCGTGGTTGAGGTCCGGCAGGGAGCAGGAGGAGAGGAGACGAGGAGGAGGACGAGGAGGACGAGGAGGAGAGGAGGAGGAGGAGGAGGACGAGGCAGGAGGAGGCAACTGACATAAAATCTAACAACCCTCACCTGGCAGGTGGGGAACAAAACATATCACTAATTATCTTAGATCACCGTCCAACCAGACCGAACCATAAAAAACTTGTAGCTCAACAACATCCAAATACCCAGTGAGTTTAGGGCGGCCTTCACTCTTGGATATTTCTGGGTTGAACGTTTATCACCCTTGGCTCTAAACAGCTCCCAGTTCGGTGTGGATCAAAATGGAATCCAAAGTGAGATGAGATGGTTAAAATATGTTAAAATCCTTTCTCCTAATATTGAATCTTCAACTTGAACCCCCTGGATTTCTTGGTGGGATTGCTTCAAATGGCCGAAACCTCTGGTTCCCAACACCAACCCCGAACCCGTTCAGACTCTGGACCCACGGTTTTCTAAGCCAGCGGACACAGCAGGAGAGGACGATACCGAACCTGGTCCATTTGCAGAAAAGAAGGTGGGTTTCACTATGTGTCACTATGTGCATAACATAAACATCATCAAACATATGCTCTCAGACATGGTTAGGGCAAACTTTAACACAAGTTACGTACAAACAGTACATGTCAGGCCGCATGTTTGGTCAAAAACCCAGGGGTCTCCTGTAAGTTGTCCCTCAAGTCCCATGTTGGGAGGATGTCAATCTGCTGACCCTGGAGATGAACAAAGAACAAATGCAGTGCATGTCTTATCTTAATCGACATATCACTAAGAAGCCCTAAACCCGCTGTAGAGATCGATTTCTATGATACCTCAACATGCCCGGCTGGTTGTACTGCAAACACCCCTCCAGCGTTTTCAGCTGCCAAGCCACTGAAAATAAATCATCCCCAGAAGCTTCTCAGACATCCTGGCACGACTGGCACGGTACTTGGAACAGGTGACTTCACTGGCCTGAGCTGCTGCGCCCTGGCAATCGAACTAAATCTAACCAGCTATGGAAAACCACCATTTTTGATAGGTCAATCAAGTGCGCTATATGATAAACGGTGGTTTTCCATTGAATAAATCTAAACTAATCAATCATATTCAATCCTCTGCACACTTGACCTGGGTTTTTTCCATAGCATCCATAGCTATGTTGGATGACCGGAGGGGAGCCTCAGTGGTTCCCAAAATCCACAAAGAGTGCAACAGTGCTGTGGAACCCCATCAAGACATGGACAAAAACTAAAGGAAGACAAGGGTGTGTCCAAAAAATGGGGCCCATTTTAACGGCTATGTATATGTCCCATTCTCATTGAGAACCATATATTTCTAGAAAAACGCCGCGAATTGCAGATTATATCATGATATATTGGCTATAAATCCTATATATTAGCTATAAATAAATCCTGGTCAACCCACTTGCAAACCAACGTTAACACCTCCCTTAAAATTGTGGCACCGTAAAAAAGCGTCCGCTAAGACATTCTCCTGCCAGATTCGTAGACGTAGACGTCCTCTTTGTGGGATGCACCTTAGTGGTTGAGCCCGTTGAGCCCTCTAAAAAATGATGGAGTGAGTGAAAGTCACTTGGGATGGTGACATTCCCAACAATTACCCTCTGGTAAATTAACATAGACCCTGGCAGTTGTCGGGGTTGGAAGACTAGTTTCCATTAAAAATGAGTGATTTTCAGGGTCTATGTTTATTTACCAGAGGGCATATGGAAAGTCATAAAATTCCATGGTTCCAAACAACCAAGCAGTTGTTAGTTGGAAGGGAAAATAGCACCAGTACCCATCCCAGCGCCTCGAATATCGAACCATCCCAGCGCCGCCGAGGTCCCCACTTTGCGTCTGGAAGAAAAGCATCCGAACCTGGGTTTGAAATAAACCACTGGAACCCAAAGGTGACAAAAGTTTTAATATCCAAATATAAGCAAATATAGTAAATCATTGAATCGCCATGTCAATGTGCGTTAGCCACATACTCACCATGGGAATCATGAAAGTAAATTCTGGGGCTTGGGCATTGGCATTACTCATCCACCCAAAGACTTACATGACACGCACGTTTACTTAGGGCCCCGAACACTGGATTAGCTCAGCTTTTTGACCCCTAAGGTCACAAACAAGCAAACATGGTCAAGTCTCTAACTCTCTCTCTCTTATTCTCAGTAGTTTTGGAAGCAAAGGTAGGCAAATATCCAGTAATATATATATATAGATGTGGATTTTTCCACAATCTTCTCCTCCAGACCAATCTTAGATACCCAGCAAGAGCCAACCTATTTCATAGCTGCCAAATATCACCTATTTTCCCATCCATATCATATCCATTGATTGCTAACCAACAGTAATCAATAACCACAACCGGGTATTGCCCACCATTTCATGCACCAAACATGAAACCAGAGCGCTCGGTGAAGCCCCCAAGGGTCTCATTGAATTACCCTCTGGTTATGTCAACAGTTTGCTATTGAAAATGGCCATAGAAATAGTGGATTTTCCCATGAAAAGTGGTGATTTCCGAAAAAGCTACGTTAAATAACCAGAGGGTACTGATTCAATGGTACGAAAATTATCAAGATATGTTTCACCCCAATCCCAAGATGAATGGTCCTCATAAAGCTTCCATGGATAGGGACCATATGGGACCATTGGGAACTGAGAACCTCACTTGGAGAAACGCCATGGCGGTGATACCCAGAAGGCCCTAAGGCAGGCACGCCGCGTGGCCACCATCTCTGGGCTGGTTTAAGGTGCCATCTTACAGGATGTTTGAGGGAACAGCATCTCTGGTTGGTGGTTGAGCCCTACCCCTCTGATAGTCAGTTGGGATGACTATTCCCAATATATGGGAAAAAATCCAAACCACCAACAACATCTTTTGTTCCCATAGGGGTTGCCAAGGAAGGCTTCCCTTAGATAAACTGACTCAGACTCAACGACCTGGGATTTTTCTACGAAAATGCGAATGCAACCCGAAATCCTCGCAGTAGAGATTTGGTTTGGCTTGCTGGCTTCAACTAAACCCGCTGCTGCCCTGCACCTCCGGCCTCCTTTGGAGGCAAAAAAAACTAGGGCTCGAAATATCCTCTGAGCAATGCGGGGTCTACTAAATTAATCCGTTCCCGATTATCAACCATATCATCAAATGGGGGCTATGACAAATCATCCGAAGCAGGGGTAACAAATCAGGGATCCCTTAATCATGGTGGATCCTGCGTTATTCTGTAGGTCTTTTCGCAGATTTCAGCTCATAAACCTCCATGTTCAGAGAGCCACTAGAGAACCATCCCAATTGCACCAGTTCAGTAAACACTTCCCACAAATCCAAAAGTTTTGTACTTTCTATAATGTTTCTATATGGTAGTCATCGATTTTCATCACTTTTCCAGGTTCTAACTGATTCTAAACATTGAAATCGGTGGCTTCTCACTTTCATAGCTAAGATTTCACCAAAGGTTCGGCAGAACACAACCAGCAAGTCTGGGGCGGCAACCACTGCGAGCCACTGCTTGGCGGAATATCCTTGGATCGGATGCGTCAGCTGCCGTGTCGATGCGTCATGATCCATGTCATCTGTATCGGGGAAACCTTAGACCATGTAACAATATTAACATATATTCACAATGGATTTTCATTGGTCCCTGCTGCGTGATTGGGGCAATTTGAGTAGCTGAAAGCTGTTGAGAGCTGGTCCAACGTTGGGCCTTGGCCCCAACCCACTTCCCATGGCGTCCAGTGCCCAGGTGCTACGGTTCAGTAAAAGCCAGGAAAGTAATGCCGTCAGCGGCACATTCACCTGGCTGAACCATGGCTTCCCACATCTCATACCAATTGCTATCACATGACCAATCTTAGATGGTGAGTCCATGCATCATTTAAAAAAATCAGTTGTAAGACGGAGATTGACCCAAATGATCAAATGTGTGGGTTTAATCTTTCTAAATCGCAACTCGTCGATGCTCTGTATCTGAATGAAGATTATTGCATCTATATATTGGGCTTCTTGCTGTGCCAAAAGATGAACCATCAATCATGTACCCTCCTTATGGACCCTAAGGAAGCACCCTTAACACTGGGTAACCGCCTGAAAACATCTGAAAACAACATGGAGCTCCAAAAATGGGTCTGCAAGGTGGTGATCTTCTGTAGGGAAATGCGTGATGTATTCGCCTGTGCAATGACCTTCAGGCTGCCAGGGTCGTAAAACCGAAGGGCCTCAACCGCAACCGCAACGGTGCCAACGGTGTTGGCACTGATGGGTTGGGAGTGATCGTTACCTTATCCTCCAGTAGATCAAATCTTTGACCCGACCGTAAAAATAGCAAAATAGTGGTCAGTAGTCTTCCAACCATGAGTTCATGGCAGGGTCTATGCTAGCTGGGAGGACGTTAACACCATAGAACAAATATGAGAAACATGTTCGGAATCAACCGCATGACACAACTGCCACAAGAATTCTACAATGTGCGACTCTAAACATACTCTTGCCGGAAACCGACCCGCCACAGGAACAACCAAACAAAAACAAACTGTGAGCATGGCGGGAACTTTAAGTGGTCAAAAACACTGGTGCTTCTATAAGTGCTCAATTTCTTGCGGAAAGCTGGTGTGCAAATCCGAGCATCGCCATAGGATCCGGCTGGTGCTGGTATATGGCTGCGAACATAAAGGGGGTATATTGATGGGATCCGTGGAGCACCATATATAGCAGCACCATGGATCCTATGGGGTACACGGGACATATACTGCAATAACTGGTGCGCAAGTTCAAACAATACCATCAAAGGATAACAACAAACGAAAACGCCTTCACAATAGATAATTGCGCCCAAACATGGCAATGTTCAAGAGCACAATAATGATCATTCAAAAGCCTATTTTGTGCATTACATGTTGGGGATGTGCAATCTTTCCATTCCCGCATTTGTACCCAAAAAAGCACAGAAACATTCTGCACAAGATAAGACATATTAATTTCCAATAATAGTAGGAAAATTACCATTTATATAGGTAACTCAACTATAAATGGCCATTTTCCATAGCAAACTGTTAAATTACCAGAAGGTAACCTTCAACTTTACTTCCAGGCGCACACTGAACTGCCACACGTTTTGACGAGCGCCTTCATGGCAAAGATCTGCGCAAGGCCAAAGGAACCAGCGATGGGAAAGACCTGCCGATGTGGGATTCAATGGGATGCAATGAGATCAATAAGATTTCATAATATGATTCGTAAGTTAAGATGATGTCCAATGAGTTGTTTAATTGATCAATCGAATAAGCGGAGTTTTTCTTAAACCATACATACATACGGTTACAGTATATGTTATAGTTATGTGTATCAACTACCCTCTGGTAAACTAACATAACTATGGAAAAATCACCATGTTTAATGGGAAAACTCACTATAAATTGTCATTTTCAATAGCTATGTTAGTTTACCAGAGGGTATAAGCTCAGTTATGATTTCCAACTACACACACATATACATCTCACACATCCCGCCTTCAGCGCCCGGTGCAGGTCCAAGCACTTGCGCAGCCCCGGCCACCCGTCGCGGCCCATGGCCAGGGCCAAACCGAACCCTGGCATCGCCACGGTGCCCACGGTTTCGGAGTGATTTATGGGTTGATTTATGGCAAATGCATGGGACATGCACATGTGAAAGGAATTCATGTCTATTTTATTTGTTTTACAACTTTGTTTGATTTTGTAGAGTGTCGCTGGCTTTGAAAAGGATTCGAATCTGGGGTTGATGGCAATGAGCTCCATGCTGGCTCATGTCGGTGGGCTCAGCTTTTGAAGCTTTGCACAGCTGCCCTGCTGTGGTTCCCATGGTTTCCCCATGCTACTTCCGGGAACAGTAGAGCCATTCTTGGATCATGTCCCAACTCAAAATGCCAGAAAACCCAAATACACATCCAACCTGGGTTTTAGAATGTATATTGTCTATATTAATTCTTGAATTACTGTGTGTTGTTTGTGATCAGATCATCTACCATATCATTTAAAAAATCTACACCGAATCATGGCCATTGGATGCCTATTGGATCCATATATTAAACCTATAATATCCCAACCAGGGTATGCAACTTTCGCAAGCTTTCGCAAGCGCCTATGGACAGGGCATTCTTGGCAGCGATGACTAGAGGAGCACACATCTCACCTTGACTGAGGTCGGTCTCCTCTACTCATCTGGTTGGTGGTTGACCTACCCCTCTGAAAAATGATGGAGTGCGTCAATGGGAAGGATGACATCCCATACATGAAATGGAAAAATAAAAGCCATGTTCCAAACCACCAACCAGTCATATATCTGAATACTAGTTGGTGGTATATCCCTCTGAAAAATATGATTCAAGTCAGATTGGATCATCATCCCAGCTGGGGAAAATAAATTTCATGTAAAAAATCATCTTCCAAACCACCAACCAATCAACCAGAATGGTGTGAATAGCGTCATCCAAGATCTGTTTGGAACAAGCCCTGTTTGTCAGAAAAAAAACGCTGCAGGTCTCCCGGCCATGACGTGCTGCGTGGCAAACGGCCAAGCCTAGGGCGCTCAGGTAACCTACATAAGCGGCACATTAAAGCCACTATAATGTTTTTTTAATATATATATCCCCCTCGTTGCCATAGATCCATAGTTAACATTCCAAGAAGTTGATCAAACCTATAATTAATTGCGATTAAACATTATAAACCAATCAACCAACTGTGGTGTATATATATATATATTATTTATATATTATACGTACACATCCAATATTTCACCACCGCTCAGGGATGCTTACTTAATCCCGATCTCTGGTCAAATCAGGAATGGTTTATCATATTGGGTTTGCCACATTATTGATACACCCCTGGCACTCCTCTCACAAGGTATGAGCGTCTCACAGGTCTTGGCAGCCAATATTCGGGGAACAAAAACTCTATCTCGAACTGCATTGCAGTGGGAAACTATCTTAACTATTCTCAGCTGACCGTGTGGTACTAACATGTATACTAACATGGAATGAGAGTGTCTACTGTGGGAAATCGTTGGCTAGTAGATCTATAGTAACTATAGTAGTTTCTGTGACGCACCCCGAAACAGGCTTCGGACATTGCCTTGGACTCTTCGACTAGAATCCAATCTCTGAGGCAAATGCCCAGGTTTCCTAAACATTAGAGTGACTCATAAACAAAATGAGGTCATTATGCCATAAACATATTGATGACACAATTCAACCCGCACAATTTGACAAAAGGATGTCGTCACTGCCAATCCCATCCCACTGGTGGCCGACTTTTGGACGCATCCAACATCACGAAGAAAAAAACCAACCATGCCTCGGCACAACATGACACAATGTTCAGCGGGCTGAGAAGGGTCAACAAACGCATCACCCGCATGTTTCTGGGGATTCCGTTCACGTATATAATTACTTAGTATCTTCAACCAAGGGCATAGCGGCAGATTCCCATGCACTGCGCTAGAATTAGAGCCACAGTTTCCAAATCACATGTTTTCCAGCAGTAAATTCGGACCTTCACTTTCCGAAACTGTTTCCAATAAAGTTGTCATGAACATGTTTCAACTCAGAATTGGCGCTGGCTATATGCCATTCTTCCAGGATCTTTTTGGTTGACACCTGCTGGTCAAAATAAAATAACTGTTGGTAAAATGCCGTTCTTGCTGCTTAAAATCACCATAGAAGCAGATATTCCGATATTCCGCCCCTGTTTCTTTGTATTCCTACCCCATGGATCCATTTCTGCCATTTCAGATGGCTGGATCCATATGGGTCCAAGTTATATCCCGATGATATCCACATTGTTGGCGAAATAATTCTATGATAATTCCCTTTAATTGCATAGCTAAATAACTAATATCCCATATCGTATTCCATTACATTTCCAGGTTTTGATGCTTCATGGCTTATATTGTTTGATGGAGTTAAATCATATTAATCCAATCATATTATGTTGATGGTGATATTCCATGATATTCCCACTTGTTGCAGGTTATATTCCCTATTTTGATCGTGATATTCTCATCTTGGATGGCTAAATCCAACCAGAACTGCCTCGACCTCGCCTGTGTTGGCGTGCGCTGCCTCGCTTTCGCGTCCGCCTGTGCCCAGTCCTGGGCCGCTGTATCAAGACTGTATGATTTATGTCAAAACCAGGTGCCAACTATTATTATTATTATTACTATGATGATTTTATTTATTATATATATTGTTATATATTATTATTACTATTATTTGTAATAAATCATAGTACATTATGACTGTAAAATGATTTCTGATTTATGCCTATTTATATAAATCTATTTACCATTGTTTGACCTAGAATTTTTTGAAAACAGATAGAAAACCATGCGCCCAATTATTATATCTGTTATTGTTGATGCATGATCCCTTACAATGATGGGTTTCAGAAAGCTTTATTTAAATTATTTAAAGCATAGTTTCCACAAACCATGTAGGCTAGCAAACGGAACGTTTTTTCAGCCAACACATGTTCTGCTCTGAGGGTGGCCCCCCCTGCAGAGCATGGCAAAAGTCCAGCAAGAACAGTCCAGTCCTGTTCGTTGCCAATCTGTTTCTGGGGTCTTGGGGGGTGAACTGTTGCAGGTCGCTGGTTTTAAAAACCATACATGCCATACAAGTACCCAGTGATGGCGCCAACCGCATGGAAGGAAGTAATTAACAGCAACCGCAGAATGGCAGAACACGTGAGTTTTTAGACAACGGATCGCCAGAACGATTTCCAACCCATGGTCGCGCATACGATAGATGGCCATAAAATGATGCTGATTCCAATGGTATTCTTCACACCCCCGAAAATGGTCACACCATGTCACACCTATGTTTTCCATTGTGTTCCAATCCCCTAACGATTACTTCTGGGTTTGTGAAAAATGCTAAGGGAATGTGAAAAAACAACCCCACATGCCCCCATTTTTTAAAGGAGGGCGCCTGCCAGGAGACAAGTTCCGCCTTGGATGGGAGAAGGTGGCATTTTTGGCCAAGAGAAATTTGGATTTGACCATCAACCCTAGGATTTTACATATCCAAATATATACAGGGATATGAGAACCTACAAATGGGGAGATCCAAATTTGGAGTTTACATGGGCGTTATTGTGGGGTATGTGGGATTTAACCACCAAAACTGGAATTCAATATTAATTTGTCTTAAACAAATTGTCGTAATCCCTATTTCCCATCATAATGGGATATCAATGCATACTACAATAATTTCAATAAGGTTGTCTGAAAATAGGGAGCGACCCTAAAATTGTAACTTGCATGAGAACGCAATGACAACCAATGCGATTTGAAGGTTCCCAACTTTGAGACAATCCTATTTGAAGAGAAGCAAGGGATCAGTCAGTAAGAAATGGCATCGCGAGGAGAACCATATGAATATTCTTTTTTAGCTGAACGGGCATATCCCTAGATGAATTGCCGTGGAAGCTGTTGCCAAGCGAGCAATTGTTTGAGGCATTTCGCCAGAAAATGTATACAGTACACTGCTGAAAAACAACCAAAATCGAAACCTTCAGTTCTCTCCAAAAAAGAATTTACAGTATCGCAGTATCGTCTTTGCGATTTGCAGGTTTTGGTTCCCTTTTGGTAGGAATTCAATGGCATCATAATTCCCATTCTTGAGCAGTCATTGTGTGGTGTGTGGTTTCCAATGGTAGCATGGTAACACCAACACGGACACCTCACCAAAATATGGGTTTTCCTGTGGATTGCCCGTTGAACCAGCTCTGGGACCCGATGAATCAAAAACGTACCGTATCGTTATCATTCCACTAAACACGTGGTTGAATTAATGCTTCACGTGTGGCCAAAGGTCTCAAAATATGGTATGCCATAGATCCAATCCCACAATTCCCACTATTAATTGATCGTTAAATCTCATTATATAAATACTCCATTAACTATTTGAGATTTGTGATAAATATCACAACCTATGGAGATTTCAATCTTCATCCATGAATATTCGGTGTGATAAACAATTCCACTATCCATATGGAGATTCAACCGTTTAACTATTCCAGTCATGAATTTCCAACAAGAAATCCATGTTTTTTTTGTGGTGAGTTAAATCCCAATTTGTGTGGTTGGAACATCTCCAACAGTGTCCATCAATTGTTGGATTTCTACCACCGAATCCCGTCCTGGTTGGTGGTGCAATAACCATCTTGAAAAATGATGGAGTTCGTCAATGGGAAGGATGACATCCCTTGTTTATGAAATGGAAAATGTTCCACATGTTTGAAACCACCAACCAGTATACCATAATTAGTATAGAACAAATCCACCATCTATAAATGACCATTTTTGGATCACTTCCGATACGGGACACCAACATGCTTTTCCGGGAAATCTGGTGAAATCTCCATTGTTTCATGGTGAAATCTCCACAGCGACACCATTTTTGGACACAACATTTTGGGCAGCGCTGGGGCACTGGAGAGGAGTGGTGTCGGAAGAGGTGCGAAGGCTCCTCGCCGGATGAAGGTTTCGGATTTGGTGCAAAGCAGTCGCAAAAAATGGAAGAACTATGGAACAACATATGAATAACATATGACAGTCCAGGGAATATATGATATAAATAATATCTGATAATATCTGTCATCGTGGTGCCATTGGCCTGTGAAATTCAGATACTGCCTGGTCGAGTCAACCAATGACAAATGAAAGAAGACGAAACCAAAAAAAAAACGGTCCACGGAAAAATCTCGGAACATGTCGGACCTTCAAGTTGTCCGATCGCGGCAGTGAATGTAACGGCTTAACCTCAATTGGATAGTTCAACGGTCCTAACAAGATCTTTCTTCAAAATGGAACATGACATGTCTCACTGAATTGCTTCAATTCAGCAAATGAAACGAGCAGTCTCATTCGCCGGTCTACCATCTAGAGAATCTAGTGACCTGGCAATTGCAAAGTATATCAAACTATATCACACCGCATATCATTTCAATGATAGTTTTATATCAATCTAGTTCTCTACATACCAAACTATATCAAACAATATCAAAGTATATTATATACAAACTTTCAATTCCAAAGTATATCATTTCTAGATGTGTTTTCTCTTGGAGATGAAGGCCCTCCGATGGATGTTCCCCGCCGTGACTTCCCATTCGCTCCTCATCAATGACCCTCTGCAGGGCGACGGAGACGGATAAAACCTGAGGGCACAGCCGTCACAGCGATTCCAACGGAATCCTAAGGGGTCTGGAAGATGATTCCGATATATCCCGATATATTCCTATTGAATACTGCTTTTATGATGATTCGCTATTGATTCCTATCCAGTATCATGATGATTCCTATTAGATGATTCCTATTGGTTCCTATCCAATATCATAATGATTCCTATTAGATGATTCCTATTGGTTAGGTTCCAATGATAAATGACGATACATGCCTGGGACGGTGCATCAGGGTGTCAGGCTTCGATGAGTCCTAGTTTCTCTCCATCACTCGCCCGGAGTCCTAGTGGATATGGCAGTTTTTGGACTGTAGTGACATCTTTAAATATATTTCAGGGGGGTGCACTACTGGTATTCAACCAGCAAACTGTTGGAATTAAAACATGGCTGCTATAACCATCAAACTGCACAAATAGATGGATTTGGAAACTTTACCCACACAATTAGACTAGCCAGCCTCATTTATGGGGATGTTCAAGTACAATAAACTGAACCACTGCTCTTTGTTGAAACTACCGGTCTATCATCAAATAATCTGCTGAAATTGTTTGGCCACCAAGATTCTCACAGTGTGTTCTAATAAACCCTATACAACCAGGTGATTTTCATGTACATGTAACACCATGGAAACAAGATTGTGATCAGGTGATTCTATCTCTGTCCTAGATCGATATATGGCACCGGAAGTTGAAGAGAACATTTCGGTACTGCTCAGTTGCTGGGGCATTGGCTATATATAATCATGTTGACTACCCAATCATCCGGCAAGGAGCTCAATCAACATGAAAAAATATAGCTTGTCTAAAGTAAGGCCTGAGGCAACCACACCTTTTTTACTATGAACACGTTTCAGATTAACAAAACCTCCATTTCCACGGCAGGGAAATCCGCAGAAAACCCAATATTCAACATGGTTTCCTGTAGATGTCCCGTAAGCCAATCTATATCCCCATTTCTTGTCAGTAAAAGTCATGGTAATAGCACTTCATCAATTGATCTGTATCAAATGTATCAAGTTCTATCATCAATTTATCTCTCTCTCAATCTATCTATATCTATCCATCCATCCCACCATCCATTTCCCCATTTCCCCATCTGTTGTTGGTAAAGGTCCTCAGGGAATCTTCACCCAACACCCAACCCAGGGAAAATCCGAGACACATCGCACGGCGAAGCTGCAGGGTCCAGTAGTCCGGGCCTCAAGGGCGATCGGCTGTGGCTGGAGATGACGAAGCCGGAGATTCTCCAGCAGAACCAGCAGGGAATTTAGTGAGATTTGATGGAGTTTATGATGAGAGATAATTATACACATATGATTGTATATATATATAATTATATATGTATATAATTATATATGTATATAATTATATATCTATATATATATATATAATTATGTATATATATATATATAAAACAGCACACATATATATAAACAACAACCGTATATCCACTTTCATAGTTTAGCACCAGGAAGCAGCATGTCGAGGGGTCAACGGGCCAAGAATTTGAACTTGATTTCCATCTGGAACCAGCCTCTTTGAGCCTGGTCCTAAAGGCTCAGCATGAACACATACTCTGAGGAGATCTGAACCAAACATGAAGTGCTTACCAGAAACGAATCAAGCATAATTAAGCTAGTTCTGCCAAAGAATGGGTGGTAACCAAGAAGACTAAACATGTACCGAAAAACATCTTGATTTCAACGCTGGCGTTTTGGGACACAGCTGGGCTTATCCCATGCCTTCCACCAAGCAGTTTGCCGCTGAACCATGGTGACTTGGTCATACCAAATAGGCTTGCCACCAAATGCCACCAGTTTCGGTCCCAACAATGAACCAAACTGTGCGGATATATCGGTATACCGTTTGTTTATTGATGAATAAGCAATTTATAACCAAGCATTATTGGACAACTAAATCAGTAATTTTATTAATTTGATAAACCAATAATCAATAATCCAATATCATTGGATAAAACGCAAAAGTGATCCTCCCAGCCCACGCTATCTCCGACGTCGAGCGGCACTTTCTGAAGGCTTCGTTCGAGTTGTGCCTTGTCGAGACCGGGGAGCCGTTGGAAGCCAACCCGTTGGGAGCCAAGCTATACCCCCAAAGAAGCCTGGCTTCAGCATAGATGTGTAACGTATGGCAAGAATAGTGCTTTATAAACAAAAAAACAACACATCTTGGGAGTGAAGAGGTTTCACTATAATTTAAAATGCTTCATCCTAATCCTAACCTCTTTCCGCCCTTTCCCGAAATATAAGCACCCCTCACCATCGTCTTCTCGGTTGATTGGGGGGTTGGGACTAGGGGAGGCTGCCCCCTACAACTTTTACTGAGGTCCAAGCTCCCAAGCCGGACAGACTTTGGATACTTTTCTGCCGAAGCCTGTCAGAGCATAGCTGGTCGCTCTGGGTGTCAGCCACACTGCTTAAATTGGCAACTATGATTTATACTTAATCCATCTTAATCCTGTTTTTGGTGATTCCCACTATTATTTGATTAACTGTTGATGAACTCAATCACAGCAGTTGTATGCCCTTGTAGTGGTGAGAGACTTTGAAGTCCCTACTACATTGTCCACAAACATAAACATCTGGGTGTGGGTCACAATCCCAAAGCCAAAAAATGAACTCTAAGGATCAAGATTGACCCATGACCTTTGACTTTACACGAACAATGGGAAACCTCAGCAAATTTCAACAACTTGGACCAGCAAGTGGCGCTTGGCGATGTGCTTTTCAAATGCGCTGTCAAAGCCTATCGACAACGTACTGCCGCACCATGCTACTAGAGCATGGGCGTGTGATTGTTGTCCTGCCCATTGATTTGCGCTGGTACATGCTCACTGGAAGGTGAGAACGTGATGTGCCACGCTTCTTGCCAAGAAGCGGCTCCAGCATAGTTTGATAGCACTTTCTTTGCCGGCGTACTTCCGTTATTGATTGGCAGTGAAAACACATACACACTTGGATAGTGTGCAAAAGGTTGAAATACAATCCAAACAGCATAGCCATAATCCTAGATGACTTACGGCTTTTGTATTCATGGGCGGCCTAGTAAAAATGCCTGGTCACCTCGTATATAGTATACCCTCTGGTTATCTAACATAGCCATGGAAACTCCACCCATTTATAATAGGCAAACCATCTATTTCTATGGGTCATCTATACCATGCTTTACCATGCTTTACCCTAGAAAAACCAGGTGCCCTGCCTGGACCGGTTCTTGGGCCAGCATCTATCCATGGCCATCAGATTGCGGAAGATCCTGGCTTTGTAGGGTAAAAACACTGAAGCAAATAACCCGCGAAAATACAACTCACTGTTTAATTTCCAACTATTTTCTTGGGGTTCAAAAAAATGATTTCCTAGAAATCGTTGCATCAACCCCAATGGTATCCGGTTGAGAAGCCTGAGGCATTAGAGCTTGCGTGTTTTATCAGCCTCTGGATCGACGTTGAAGCCCTTGAACATCCTTAAACCCCAAGCGGGGGAAAAAGAAATGTGCTTCATGAGTTTTATTAGCATCACATACTGTAATCAATGTGCACTTATCGCTATAAGGCTATAAGATGCCATAAGCCTAGCATGGTTTCCTTACTCTTCCATACTTTTCCGATGCTTCGCGCTCGGAAAGAGCGCATCCTGCATGGGGCGTGCTTGGGTCCGAAACGGCAGCGAGATCTGAATCCCTGGATGCCGAAGGATGTTGCAGAATGATCTGAGTTACCAAAACACGGTGGCATCTGCAGTAAGTTTCAAGAACGTTTGTACATGAGAAGCCCCAAAGCAGAGAGGACATCTACTTGGGAAAATGTGCTAGTTTGCTTCCTGTGTCGAAGCTCCAAAGCCATTGAATTTATCTGTGATGCACATCCATTTTTTTGGCCCATGCATCTGCCATCTACACCTCGATTGAGGTTGCTTGAAACACCCGGAAGTGATCTGCACACTCCCAGCCAAACTCATTCATCTGGCTATTGAAAAACACTATGGGGCGCAGTGGGAGAAAAAAAAGATTCAGGAGTTGGTTGTCGGACAAGAGATGAATCACTTGATACACTTTGGGAAGCTGACTGTTCGAACACTTCGGGTGGGTCACCCTTGGTGAGGTACCCATACAGGGGCACCCAAAAAGTCTCAACTCCATGATCAGCGGGGCGGAACCAGACTTGGAATACCTCTGTGTTCTGCAGCAATTTGCGAGCTCCCGTCAGTTTGGCCACACGTGTGCCAAAGATGACTTTGCATCCTTCCTTCAAGTCTTTTGCCTCAGAATCCTGCAGCTTCCCGGGCTCAATTTTGGTGATCTCGGTGCCCGCTTCCACATCATTGGCATCATCGGAAACAACCCTCACCGGATGGGACTCCGTAAGGATCAGCTTGCCTAGGCGATAGGCAACAGATAGCTCCACCAAGCGGTATTCCTGTTTAGGTAATTTTATCTTGCCCTGCACTCGCACCCTTTCTCCAGAAGGCGCCGTTACAATGTCCCCTTCTTCCAAATCCTGGACTCGCCTCAAAAGCTCATCCGGTATCATGAAGCAGGTCTCAGGAAGATAGCAGGGACAGATCGCACTCCCTATGTTGGGCGGCTTCTCTTTTGATACGAAGCCATGAATGCGATCGTAGAAAGCCTGTCTGTACATCTCGGGTGGTACGGACTTTTTCCCCGCTCCAAATATATACAGGGATATGAGAACCTACAAATGGGGAGATCCAAATTTGGAGTTTACATGGGCGTTATTGTGGGGTATGTGGGATTTAACCACCAAAACTGGAATTCAATATTAATTTGTCTTAAACAAATTGTCGTAATCCCTATTTCCCATCATAATGGGATATCAATGCATACTACAATAATTTCAATAAGGTTGTCTGAAAATAGGGAGCGACCCTAAAATTGTAACTTGCATGAGAACGCAATGACAACCAATGCGATTTGAAGGTTCCCAACTTTGAGACAATCCTATTTGAAGAGAAGCAAGGGATCAGTCAGTAAGAAATGGCATCGCGAGGAGAACCATATGAATATTCTTTTTTAGCTGAACGGGCATATCCCTAGATGAATTGCCGTGGAAGCTGTTGCCAAGCGAGCAATTGTTTGAGGCATTTCGCCAGAAAATGTATACAGTACACTGCTGAAAAACAACCAAAATCGAAACCTTCAGTTCTCCAAAAAAGAATTTACAGTATCGCAGTATCGTCTTTGCGATTTGCAGGTTTTGGTTCCCTTTTGGTAGGAATTCAATGGCATCATAATTCCCATTCTTGAGCAGTCATTGTGTGGTGTGTGGTTTCCAATGGTAGCATGGTAACACCAACACGGACACCTCACCAAAATATAGGTTTTCCTGTGGATTGCCCGTTGAACCAGCTCTGGGACCCGATGAATCAAAAACGTACCGTATCGTTATCATTCCACTAAACACGTGGTTGAATTAATGCTTCACGTGTGGCCAAAGGTCTCAAAATATGGTATGCCATAGATCCAATCCCACAATTCCCACTATTAATTGATCGTTAAATCTCATTATATAAATACTCCATTAACTATTTGAGATTTGTGATAAATATCACAACCTATGGAGATTTCAATCTTCATCCATGAATATTCGGTGTGATAAACAATTCCACTATCCATATGGAGATTCAACCGTTTAACTATTCCAGTCATGAATTTCCAACAAGAAATCCATGTTTTTTTTGTGGTGAGTTAAATCCCAATTTGTGTGGTTGGAACATCTCCAACAGTGTCCATCAATTGTTGGATTTCTACCACCGAATCCCGTCCTGGTTGGTGGTGCAATAACCATCTTGAAAAATGATGGAGTTCGTCAATGGGAAGGATGACATCCCTTGTTTATGAAATGGAAAATGTTCCACATGTTTGAAACCACCAACCAGTATACCATAATTAGTATAGAACAAATCCACCATCTATAAATGACCATTTTTGGATCACTTCCGATACGGGACACCAACATGCTTTTCCGGGAAATCTGGTGAAATCTCCATTGTTTCATGGTGAAATCTCCACAGCGACACCATTTTTGGACACAACATTTTGGGCAGCGCTGGGGCACTGGAGAGGAGTGGTGTCGGAAGAGGTGCGAAGGCTCCTCGCCGGATGAAGGTTTCGGATTTGGTGCAAAGCAGTCGCAAAAAATGGAAGAACTATGGAACAACATATGAATAACATATGACAGTCCAGGGAATATATGATATAAATAATATCTGATAATATCTGTCATCGTGGTGCCATTGGCCTGTGAAATTCAGATACTGCCTGGTCGAGTCAACCAATGACAAATGAAAGAAGACGAAACCAAAAAAAAAACGGTCCACGGAAAAATCTCGGAACATGTCGGACCTTCAAGTTGTCCGATCGCGGCAGTGAATGTAACGGCTTAACCTCAATTGGATAGTTCAACGGTCCTAACAAGATCTTTCTTCAAAATGGAACATGACATGTCTCACTGAATTGCTTCAATTCAGCAAATGAAACGAGCAGTCTCATTCGCCGGTCTACCATCTAGAGAATCTAGCGACCTGGCAATTGCAAAGTATATCAAACTATATCACACCGCATATCATTTCAATGATAGTTTTATATCAATCTAGTTCTCTACATACCAAACTATATCAAACAATATCAAAGTATATTATATACAAACTTTCAATTCCAAAGTATATCATTTCTAGATGTGTTTTCTCTTGGAGATGAAGGCCCTCCGATGGATGTTCCCCGCCGTGACTTCCCATTCGCTCCTCATCAATGACCCTCTGCAGGGCGACGGAGACGGATAAAACCTGAGGGCACAGCCGTCACAGCGATTCCAACGGAATCCTAAGGGGTCTGGAAGATGATTCCGATATATCCCGATATATTCCTATTGAATACTGCTTTTATGATGATTCGCTATTGATTCCTATCCAGTATCATGATGATTCCTATTAGATGATTCCTATTGGTTCCTATCCAATATCATAATGATTCCTATTAGATGATTCCTATTGGTTAGGTTCCAATGATAAATGACGATACATGCCTGGGACGGTGCATCAGGGTGTCAGGCTTCGATGAGTCCTAGTTTCTCTCCATCACTCGCCCGGAGTCCTAGTGGATATGGCAGTTTTTGGACTGTAGTGACATCTTTAAATATATTTCAGGGGGGTGCACTACTGGTATTCAACCAGCAAACTGTTGGAATTAAAACATGGCTGCTATAACCATCAAACTGCACAAATAGATGGATTTGGAAACTTTACCCACACAATTAGACTAGCCAGCCTCATTTATGGGGATGTTCAAGTACAATAAACTGAACCACTGCTCTTTGTTGAAACTACCGGTCTATCATCAAATAATCTGCTGAAATTGTTTGGCCACCAAGATTCTCACAGTGTGTTCTAATAAACCCTATACAACCAGGTGATTTTCATGTACATGTAACACCATGGAAACAAGATTGTGATCAGGTGATTCTATCTCTGTCCTAGATCGATATATGGCACCGGAAGTTGAAGAGAACATTTCGGTACTGCTCAGTTGCTGGGGCATTGGCTATATATAATCATGTTGACTACCCAATCATCCGGCAAGGAGCTCAATCAACATGAAAAAAAATAGCTTGTCTAAAGTAAGGCCTGAGGCAACCACACCTTTTTTACTATGAACACGTTTCAGATTAACAAAACCTCCATTTCCACGGCAGGGAAATCCGCAGAAAACCCAATATTCAACATGGTTTCCTGTAGATGTCCCGTAAGCCAATCTATATCCCCATTTCTTGTCAGTAAAAGTCATGGTAATAGCACTTCATCAATTGATCTGTATCAAATGTATCAAGTTCTATCATCAATTTATCTCTCTCTCAATCTATCTATATCTATCCATCCATCCCACCATCCATTTCCCCATTTCCCCATCTGTTGTTGGTAAAGGTCCTCAGGGAATCTTCACCCAACACCCAACCCAGGGAAAATCCGAGACACATCGCACGGCGAAGCTGCAGGGTCCAGTAGTCCGGGCCTCAAGGGCGATCGGCTGTGGCTGGAGATGACGAAGCCGGAGATTCTCCAGCAGAACCAGCAGGGAATTTAGTGAGATTTGATGGAGTTTATGATGAGAGATAATTATACACATATGATTGTATATATATATAATTATATATGTATATAATTATATATGTATATAATTATATATCTATATATATATATATAATTATGTATATATATATATA